TGTCCTTGGCCGTCCGGGCGGACCGTCAGGTGCATCTCCCTCAGTGAATCACTTCCCAGCTCGGGTACACGCGCCGGACCGCCCGCGTGTGTGTGTGTGTGTGTGTGTGTGTGTTTGTGTGAGAGAGGCCTGTCTGTGAGTGTCCAGTGGGGCATCTAATTAATTATCTACAAACCACCTGCTATTAGTGCAGCCGAGGTGTTGCGCCGGCATCTCCTGTGCGGCGCCGGTGTCTGACTTTGCGGGTGTGCCGCAGAAGTGAAGTGAATGTAAGTCAGGAAGAGTAAGGTCCCGCAGTGTTCTAGGCTTTCGATCACGTATACTTTACTTCTTCCAGAACGCCGAGCGCTACGCTTCGTCCAGGATGCTGTCGGTGCATCACCCGAGGCCTCAGGCCCCACTGGTCTGCAGCTGTATCCGCCCGGAGTCTCCCCTGGGCATCCCCTGCCGAGCATAACTCAGTGTCTAGTTAGACACACCCCACTAACAACCACCTCCTCGAGGCTAATGAAGCTCTAAGGGGGTCGGGTGCACGAAGCGTGTAATTTCGACCTCCTTTGCACCCGTGGCTCGTCTACCTGGCCGCTCTGCACACACTCATAACTTACGGACGCCCCCGGCGTGATTAACCCAACCGCCGCGCGCATCATCCAAATCGATCATCGCCGTACTGAGAGAAAGCGGTCGCGGGCTCACCAAAGGGGTCCCAAACCGATCCCCCTGCGTACACGACAGGTGTAGCAGCCCATTACTGGCGGGCATAGTAAAGCAGGGCCGGGAGGATCCTGTCCGGGCGGTAAACCTGCCGGGGCGTTGCGTCACGGGGATCGTCCTGGACCCCGTCCTGCACGGGAGCCGGCGGCGCAAGTGTCGTCTCGGCCCATCGACCGTTCGCCGCGCCGCCGCCGCCGCCTCAAGTTGCCCTCCGAGTTGTACGTTTTTCTATTGCGGTCGTGTCGTCTGCTGCAGCCTCCTCTTCCCTCCGTCGCCGCAACTGCCTTCGGATATCGAATGACGATTTGGAGCTTTCTCTGCTTCCTTCCTTCCGTCGTCGGCGGCCTCCCCCGCCGCTCCCCGCACCCTTACAATCCCACGGCGGTAGGAGTGCTTGCTTCTTCTGAATGCCATCAGGGAGCTGACCTTCGAATATTGCCCCCTTTCCACTCCCGTGCGTCCCGGACGGACGGATGGACGGACACAATTGGGTTCCGCGCAATATCGCTGATGATGTCCGACTGCGGAGTCATCATCCAGTTGCGCAAGCGTATGCCGAGGCTGCCCCAGGCGACTGCCAATACGAGCAGCCTATATCAGCACTGCACCGGCCGCCGGTGCCGTACTGTTTGTTGTGCACTCGCAAATTTTTAAATTTTTATTTTGAAAAAAGTAAAGCTAGAAGAAACTGTTGTCCATTATTCAGTGTGACACAGTAAAAATATCTGGTTATCAAACGACTTTTTCAAACTATGGAAGCGCCAGGTGTGATTTGCCATGATTGGATGGGTTTCCCCCTTCCAAAAAAGGGTTCTTGATTTTCTTGAGGATGCTGTCGAATGGAACTCACGTCAAGTGTGAGGCAGTGTTGACACTAATGGCTGTCAGGCAAAATACCTCATGGTGTGTGACTTCATTCTTCCTGTGCTCCGTATGTTTCTAAAAATTATCGATTTCTCCGAATTCTTGTTCCAATTGCTTTTTTTAAAAAAAATTAATCAACCACCTATCGTCATAGAACCAAGCAATCAAACGTTTACAGTGCTACGCACGCGGTGTATGCCACCAATACTTACCTATTTTGATGTTGATTTTGTGGTGTATTTGGTATACACATGCGTGGTGAACATCAAAAATAGCGGGAGTACAATAACCTATCCTTTTACTGTGCATTCCCTTCTGCTCCACCATTCCTGAAGCGTTTAAAGTAAGTGGGCATGCTTCACACTACAGGTCTATAATTTTTTGTAGCCGTCGTACGGCTGATGCAGTAGTGCTTTTCGGGTAGCCGTTTTAACTTCCAGAGTGGGTCCGCTCCGCTGCTACCCGCTGGGAAATGTCAGGCGTGGATGCCCCTGCCGTGCCCTCGCCCCGCCGTGCGCCCCACGGGGCCCCACAGGGCGTCGTGCGCCACGCCGGCCAGAGGGTCTGCCGTGATTACTCGTAAAGCGCAAGTGCAATCCCATGCCTGCCTACTTAGCGGCACTAGAAGGTCCAGCCGCGTTGCCCAGGTTTGGTTTGGTTTTCTCGTCTCCGGCTGCGAAAGCGCGTTTAAAAACGCGAGTGAGTCGCACGCGCACTCGGAGTAAAGGAGCTGACCGTACCCGCGCCCGCTCTGTCTGGGTGACCGGCACACGTACGTGCGACAGCGGTGGGTTTCGACACGATTAATAGGTGCCGTTAAGTCTTCTAGGATGCCATAACGGAATGAAATCGTGTAAAATAAATAAAAAATGTCTCGTGTTTTGCTGTAATTTCACAAACGCATAATTTATCTGTCTTTCCTTAAAAGTGTGCTTGGGCAGACAAGCTGGTTAAACTACACGCCTCGTGTAAAGCCTATGCGCACTGTTTATGCAGCGTACCGTTTTTATTTTCAGTGCAATGGAACGTATACAGTAACATAAAAATAGCGACTCTCGTGAATCCCATACTGTCTATTATTTTCTTTTCGATCTGGCTCGATCTGGCCGCTATAACCGCATGAATGTTCTGAATCGCCAATGTAAAATGCTTGGCGAGCAATGTCGCTCCACCTCCTCTCTTTGGCGCATCACGCGTTCATAACTCACCGCCTAATGGTGCGCGGGGCGGAGGCCGGCCGCCGGCGGGGAAGGGGAGCAGTAGGGAACAGGGCCACGGGCGATTTGCAACCTGGAAAAGCAACTGCATAGCAACGGATTCCTGCCGCCCGCCGCTTGCTCGGCTTCTGCAGGAGAATGCAGGTCCCGACAACCCATTACCGACTAAAGGCCCCGACCGGCCCGACCGACCGGGCCTTACCGCGCTCGCCGCACTGCAAAAATAAAATTAAAGGCAATAAAACGGCGGAATGAATTAACCAGTTAGTCGGAGTATCGGCCCGAGCGCCGGTATCGCCGAGCGTTATCTCGAGCCGACTGCAGCAACAGGAACTCAGACCGCCATAACGCTAATCAGGTTATTTCGCTCCCAGGGTGCCCCCCCGGCCCGGCTTCGCTGGACCGCATAACGTCTCTCCCTAAAGCGGTGGCCCCTTCATATCCTTGTACGTGTTCGGTCTGTTTGTGCGCACAGCTCATCTCTCTGTGCGCCCGTGTGTGTGCGTGGACAATGCGTCGTCTGTTTTGCAGCTTACCGTACAGCCCCCCTCTCTAACGGCCGAACGGTTGATGAGGCCTTATGCCATGCAAACCAGAAAGCTGCTCCTCGGCATCGCTGCGTTATTAGCGGCTCGGCCGTACCGGGCGGAAGAAGAGGAAGACACATCGTAACGCTGCGCTGGCGCTGCGCTGGCGCTGCGCTGGCGCTGCGTGCGTACGGGAGCCGTGTAACCTAACCCCTCATAACCTCTCCGGACCGGGCCGAGGGGCCGACCGCACCAGCTGCCGCACAGCCCGGCCGGTCAGCTGGCGCTGCTAGGGCAGGGGTCACGTGACTCGTGACGGACGACAGGGAACTCATCGACCTGGTTTGTCGTCAGCCGTCATGACGTTGGTGATACCCGTTGGTATAGACGTTTTCGCCTCTTAAATCTTAAGTCTTTTTCAACCTGTTACAGAAGGATGACTTCGTTGTCCTCTTTATTAGTAAGATAGAAAAAAAAACTCGTTTTTTTTCGACGCTCCGCCTTCCCCTATTATGTATACCCGCCACCAATACGTGCGGCGATGGTTTTTCATCACCTCCTAAAGTTGCCGGTCCAACAGGTCCAATGCCTCGTGACCAGTCCGGAAGGTGGCCGGTCCATTGGGCTTCAAAGGCTCACGCCGCGTTTCCGTGAGGTGGTCAGTGGCCGCTGGGCCCGGCTCTTCACCAGTTTTTTTTTTTTTTCGAGCTGTGCGTGTACTTTTTTTCTGTTTCTTTTTCTTGTGGTGCGTGAGCTGAAGCTGAGGTTTCGGGATCATTGCGGGACTCCGGTAGCGCCGCGCGCCTCCTTGGTCGGACCGGGCATATGCAATGGTTTTCTCTTCGGCATTAATTGTATCTGCGCGCTCTCCGCTAATACTCTGCTGCCGGCCGGCACGTCTGGTTCGCGGTCACGGGTCACAGCCATGGTATGGTGACCCTCACCCTGCCCTGCTCACACAATGGCACACAACCACTCACACATGGCGGGGAGGGAATTCGGAAAGAATTTTTCATCACACAAAGGTTATAAAGCTCCGGAATATGATGAGATATGTCCGCCCCTGCCACCGCAGTCTGAAGAAGGGCGGAGGGAAGTAATGCAGGCAGCGCCTCAGTCTGCCTCAGCACAGCCGCTCTCTTGATTTATACTTTGCCTCTCGCCCGGACCGAGTAACGAGGCAAAAAGCACACTCCGTCTGGTGCTGCTTTGAGTTTGGGTTGGCGAAATGACTCAGGTGGCGCTCGTCCCCGCGACTCGTCCCGTCCCGGGCTGATACCGAGCTCCCTGATTGAATGACGAATTCACGCGCTGCGCCCAGAGAGTTTCGTGAGGAAGAAATCCCGCCGGCGGCAGTAACGCACTCTGTGTTAATAGCATGGGGGAAGTGGGAACGGGCTTCTTCTTGCGTTTTTATCATCATCACTAATGCGAGATTTCTTTTCTTTTTTTATCCACCCGCCTTCTTCTTTCACTGTAAGGTGTGGCTGGCTTGGTCCTGGTGCGCGCAATATATGTGCGCATGGTGCGTAGGATTAGTATCGGTGGAGGCCTAAAGGCGTCCTCTGGACCATAACGTGAGCGGAAAAACGTCACCCCATTCGTCGGTTATGCGAGAGCTGGGTGGGGAGACGAATCTAAACTTTCTACATCCTTCCTTAGAACATGTTGATACAGGATGTGGGAAGCATTTGGATTTGTGGAGAAGCATCTGCTCTGTAATCTAAGCCCCTCTCCCATCTTTCCCGCCAACATTTTGGCTTTGGCAATAAATATGTTGGAAAGTATGCGAACATTTTGAGAATCACGGTTCCGCCCTTAAAACCGCTTAAGAGTGTTTCTTTCCCCTGGGCACCTGTTTTAGACATCCTTGCAAATGTATGGATTGGATAGTCGGTTGAGTGGGCGGTTGCCATGGAAGGGGTCGGCCGCCAGACGCCAGAGGACGCGGTCAGTAGCGCCGCGGGGCGCCGTTCTGATTGTCTGATCGCGTTGGCGTGGTCTTTATTGATTTTAGTTTCGCCGACAGCCGTAGTATTTTCGGTTTCTCCTTCCAAATGAGCGTGCGATATGCAATCAGCCCGACGCGCCCCACGTGCCGATAGAGGGCCGATAGGCAGGCGGCTCTGTCGCCCACGTGTTGAATGGTACTGGGCCCTTATTGTTCTTTATAATTTGAGTTTATTCATGGCAAAAATATTATGAGAAAAACGTTTTATTTTAGTTGTAATATATCCCGAAACCTCAGTCCATATCTTTTGCGAAGTATTCACGTAACGCATTTACAAAGGTCGCGGATGTAAAGCAGGACAAAGTTCAGAACGTTTACCAAGTTGACTTACAGAAGGGCAGGAATTATTCTTCAAATAACGAACATATCGTTCCGATATAAACTACGTGTCACTTTGTCTACTTTTTTGAAGTTGGTACAAACAGTTTGTTTTCTAATTTGAAAAACATTCGTCGTTGAGTTACTTGAAGATTATTGTCTTTAAATTACCAAAACCATTAACAGTGGACGTTCCTGCGTACATGGACCTGTACCCTGTACCCCTGCGGCTGTTCGTTGACCCTTCTTCCACTTCGTAACAAGGGTTATAACAACGGCCTCCTAGCTATTTTATCGTTTTCCGTTCCTTTAAAATAGGTTGTCAATCGATTACAGGGAGGAGGCTACCGAGCCCGAACCTGCTCATAGGTATGATCTAGACTCAGGGGAACGTTGTCATGTGCTGTGCGCCGGGAATGTAACACTGTCAAAACATTGTACCAAAGTACAACAAATGGATGGTAGTTTAGTGGAGGTGAGGTAATGATCGTTGTACTTTTTTATTGCAGAGCCCATCAGACTCTATGTTGAACGATATTGGAGTTTGTATCGCAAATTATTGTATCTTGCGCAGTACTTACAATAAGGTCAGGCAAGGACTTGACCAGTGCGTGTTGTGGGTTTTTCCTGACAATACTGCAGGGGACATATGTAGACTAGGATGGATACCGCATGGTTTTAGCAGCCTATAAGAGGTATTTCAGTCGTATTAGTATGAGAAAAAAGTATAAGAAAATCTGAGACGTGAGGCATGAAATGTCCCATAGTTCTGATACTGCTTGTGGTATTATTGCTCCTAGTTTTGATTTTGGGCCGTTTCTAATATTGGGCTTTTGGTTTCTATGTTTCAGGAGGTGAGTTAATGCGTCGCCTGAGCTGCAGCCGTGAATCGCAGCGGGGGGGCAAGTACAACAACTCGGCGCGCTGCAACCAGACGGCTCCGACACAGCACGCCGCACGCACGCAGTGTCCAGCGGCTCCAGTGACACGGTTGCACCGCTATAGGAAGCGTGACGCAACGCATCACACATGCCTGCGCGCTAATTTTTTGTAACGAGGGTGATGATGTGTGTTTTTCTTCTATATCCTTTCGCACGTGTTACGCACGCTCGCTCGCTCTGCACGCACGCGCAGCCGCTCGGCCAGTCACGCCACGGTGCTTCATTCGTTATTGCCTCCTCAAGTGACCCGTCAAATGATGACGTTCCGGTGCCCCGGTGCCCTGGTGAGGAGCGGCCGGAGGTGCGTGTGTCAGCGCGGCGCCAGGAACTCGATCTGACGTAACGAGTCCGTCCTCCTATTCGGGCCCCGCTCTATTGCGTGCGATGCGATCGCCTCACGGCGGCGTCCGCATTATAAAAGGTCAACACCGACCAACGAATTTGTCACTATTTTTTTCCCCCCTCCGCCCCCCGCGGCAGGTGCGATAGTGGTCCTCTCTGCAGGCGGAGGGCGCCAGCGGAGGCCCGGCCCGGCCCGGCGCCGTGCGAAATGAATGGGCGGCGTGCTCTGGTTATTTTAGTGGCCGTAAAGGGCTGCGCGAAAGACATCACGGCGACACCTGCTGCAGGGGCCCGGGGCGGGCGCGCCGGGAGCCGGCCCCGGCTGGGATAGGGCCGCCGGAGGGCCCGCCGGCCCGGCCCGGGCCACGGCTGTCGGAAGCCGGTCGGTTTCGTGTTTCTGCTACCGGTCCCGGGCCGGTGCGTGGCGGGGCGGGGCGGGGCGCGCTGGACCAGCAGCCTCCTCGGCCCATCTCGTGCAATAATGAAGATTCATGCTCGCCCAGCCGCGCCGCCCGCGCGTTCGCTTTTTCACACGCGGAAAGACGCGCATTATTAAAAAACGGACGGCGCGTATGTATACACCTCGGTATACACCCTTTGGGAAATGACGTTGGCTTTTCTGTTTGTTTTTTGTTGTCGAGATGAAAAACTGGCGTGAGTGTGTGATGTGAAGTGTAGCCCGTGGGGCTTATCGCCGTTGTAGGGACGCACCCACCCCTTCCCACCTCACCTGGATGAGCAGCAAGGCCGGCTTATATTTCGCACACGGACGGCTCTCGACCCGAAATGCGCACCCCTCGCACCAACGGGGGGCACTTTACAACCGCGGGGAAAAGGGAACGAGAGAGATGCCACCGGGAGACAAGCGGCCGTTCGGCGGGCATGAAGAGACAGCGCCCCGTGCCATACTGCTCTCAATTTGCGCCCCACGGCCGCCAACCCTCCGCCCCCCCC